AAACCGAAAAATAGTTAATGAGCTGGAGACATTGCTATCACGATTATACAAAGGATGTTACTTTGGGAACACAAGCTTCTTAGAGTGTGGGAAAAACTATAGACCGTCATATGCATGGAGTTTTGATTTTGATTATTTATTATTGCCAAAACAACCAATGGAATTTTGATTTGATTTGAAATAAAATTAATTGTTGCTTTTATACATAATGCATGGAATATGAAGTGACTCTAAATCACTTTGATAACGATGGTTACTTTTATTGAAAAGTATTATATTTGTTTGAAATTTTGTTATCTACATATATTTAGAACGGAATAAATCATATTATCTAAATAATCTATTAAAATTTTGAAGATAAAAATTATCAAATATTTTTTAATCTCTTTAAATAGTACGATTATTTAACATTAGTGAACAATTAATCTATATAATAACAAACCCAAACAAATGAATATTTTTGAATTGTGTCTTCTCGAAAAACCGTTTTCTATTTATAGGTTTTGGTAGAGTCGAGTTCTTTTAAAAAAAATACTTTACGGTTATTTTGTAGGATTGCATCTTCTCGACAAAAACCGCTTTATATGGTTATATTCAAGAATTGCATTGTTTCGTCAAAACCGATTTGTCAATAGTTGCGTCTTTTCGTTATAATCGTTTTGTCAAGAGTTGTATCATTTCATTAAAAAAACCCGCTATATAGTTATTTACAAAAGTTGCGTCTTTTCATTATAACCATATTGGCAACAGTTGCATATTTTCTAAATAACCGCTTTATGGTTATCTTAGAGTTGCGTCTTTTCGGAAAAAACTGTTTCGCCTATATATATTTATGTTTTCGTTTTTCTTTCGTTGATCTTTCTGTTAGTCATGACTATTGGTTCTATAATTCATTTAAAACATAAAATAGATGAAAAGATACCCACAAGCGATTTAATTAGTTATCAACTATATTTTCTATATGAATTTGACGATTTAAATATTTCAAATTACAAATGAATTGATTTAAATGGTGTGCAAATCCATAAATTGTTCAATTGGTTAGACGAATAGTTATGGTTTCAATCCGAAATGCGTGTGCAATGAAAAAAAATTCACTAACATGATTCATTTGTCTAAATAAAAAATTGTATTGTCTTTTGGATGTTTTTTTGTCTTGTAGTAGTATTTGTTATTAGTGACATCAAATCGGTTATTTTTTAAGTATGTGTTAATGTAATTATAAAATTTTTAAAAATAAAATTTTAAATATCATTTAGTGTTATGTTGTGGTGATTGATTTATAAAAATACATTGTATAAGAAAAAATTCAAGAACGATAACCACATTGGTATAATAATAGAAATATGGGACAATTACAAAAATGCCATTTTTGATGTATACATTTATAAAAATGCCACTAATTATAAAATTTTAGAGCATAAATCTTAAAATTCTAAATTTTAAAAAAAATTTTGACCCCTAAAAACCCCCTAAACCATCAAAACTAAACCGTAATACAACATAGTTAACCCAAATATAAATTATATAATGAATAAATAATTTTAAAAATATCGTATTTTCGTAAAGATTTTGATAAGGTGCTATTTTTGAAAAATGACACTTGAAAATTAGCATTTCTCAAAATTTCTCAAACATAATTAATATATAACCAAAAATTAAGAAAACGAACACCACACATGTGGTGAAGGGGCAAGTAGATCTCAAATAACACTTGACTTATTATAAATTAATACAATTATTACTTTAACCATTTTATAACTATATTTTATTAAATAGAAATTTGTTGTGTTGTAGAAAAACTATACTCTTGAAGGTAAAACTCACATATGTAATTCTTTATAGTTTT